ACAAGCTCAACCAGGTCGAGCTCTCAGTCCAGTTCACACTTAAAGTAGAAGTCGACAACACTCTTCCTTTCCTTGATGCTCTTCTCTACAAAGCTGACCATGAACTTCGTTTTAAAGTCTATCGAAAACCTACCAACCAACACGATCTTCTCCACTTCTACTCTCACCACGACACCAAAACTAAACGTGGAGCAATTATAGGCTTTTCCTGCGCGCACTCAGAATCTGCAGCAATGAGTTCCTTGAGGAAGAATGCACTATAATTGAACAAGAATTTTCTAAACTCCACTATCCTCGTCACTTCATCAGAGACTGCAGACGACGGGCATTAAACATCTTCAACACACCCAGAGAAGACACTGCCGAGAAGAGATACATAGTCCTCCCCACCAACTCCATTGCCAAACACGTTTCCAATATATTTTCCAATACCTCATTCCAAGTATCTACCTCCACAACCACGACCATCAAGGACATTACCAATAACAGACAGGACAAGCTTCCATCCACTGCAGAGGTATACATAATCCCTTGTAATGACTGCAACAAATTTTACGTTGGCGAAACATTCAGAAACCTCCAAACACGTATTTCAGAACACCAGTACACAGGCAGATCTGACGATGCAAGGAATGCCTGTGTTCAACACCAAAATTCCCACAACCATATAATGAACTACAGAAACGCAAGACTTATCGCCAGAGACAACACTCAGTACTGAAGAATCCTGGAATCATCACTTATCTGTATATCCAACAACTTCAACCAGAACAACGGCTTCTATAACATAGCTGAATCACTTGCCAAGAAACTTCTTCATTGTTATCCCACATAAGAACATAAGAATGGAACACTGCAGAAGGTCTACTCATATACTTATCCAATCTCTCTACAAAGTTACCCAAGGTATTATGACCCTACTCAGTAGATTGTCACATGCAGCATTCTCCAACTGACCCAGCATTCGCAATCTGAATTCATCCTATAAATACTCACGTACTTTCCACCCAGGTAGATCTGTTTGTGACTTGATAAAGCCTACTGTGTGGGCAAAACGTTATCAAGAATAGATCATAATTATATTGCATATGTGTTTATATTTCCATGATGTGCAATGAATCAGCAGAAAGATAAGGAGCATAAAAACAGTCACTTAAAACAGATGGTTTTACACCTCTAGATAGACTGCCATTATAAGTGTACACGACCAATCTGAGTGAGCGTCTGCCATCAGGCAAGTGTGGAAGCAACTCAGTCTGGTATAAGATCTCACCCAGTTGGTTGGAGTTCGAACTGGAGAGCCAATCAGAGTAGTGGGGGCACCTGATGCAAACGACTCTAACCTGACTGTTAATTTAGCCAGACTGGAGGGTATGCACAAATGAAGGGGGTGGTAAACACTTTATAAACTGTAACGTACTCGACGCATACAACAATCTATATAATCTATTAACTCTACGATTTCGTTCTCGATCAACCTAATATTAGCTAATTTATTTCTGCCATAATTTAAAATCTATTTACTTTAATTTTCAAAACAATTAAATTAGCAATTCTTTTTGATTATCACTCAGCTTTTGACTTTTCAGTCAACTAGTATTAATGTTTTGTTTTAAATTATTCCTATTACAGATAATTGTAGACAGTAAACACTAGCACAAAAGACCTGAGAAGAATGTTTATATCAGGCAACATAGAGGGGAATAAACGTGACTGTATATTTAAGTAATGCCCAAGTATTTAGAACAGATATCTAGTACTCTTTAGGATTAACTTATATATATATATATATATAATATATATATATATATATATATATATATATATATATATATATATATATATATATATATATTAATTTATGTTAATATAAAAATTAATAATTTTGTATTAAAGGAACCATACAAAACTTTCCTGACCTTAATATAACAAGCCCAATTTAATTTATCCTAATTCAACTAAATATATTTTAGATAAGTTTACAATAATTTAATAATAAACAAGCACAATGAAATATATCTTTTTTTCGTTAGGTTCAGAATGATTTTTGCGAAATTATTGCATACACAAATTTCCGATTGCCTTATTCGACAAGAAGAGCGTTGTTATTTAAACCAAAATCGCAATTTTTACCTATGCGGCACAACATATAAATATATATATATATATATATATATATATATATATATATATATATATATATATATATATATATATATATATATATATAAATATATATATATATATATAATATATATATATATATATATATATATATATAATATAGTATATATTATAATATATATATATATATATATATATATATATATATATATATAATATATATATATATATTATATATATATATATATATATATATATATATATATATATATTATATATATATATATTATATATATATATATATATATATATATATATATATAAATATATATATATATATATAATATTATATATATATATATATAATGCTTATAGGGAAGCGCTAGACCTGTAGGGGTTATAGAGCGCTTGTCAAATAGAAAATAATCAAGTCTGATCCAAGAAAAGGAATGATAGGTTTAATTTTTCTGGCGAAGTGACCTTCACCAGGTTTAAAGAATTTATCAAAAAAGGGAAGGGTAGGAAGGTCGATGTGAAGGTCATGTGGGTATTAATACCCCGTGAAGTTCATGTGGGTATTAATACCCGTGAAGGTCATGTGGGTATTAATACCCCGTGAAGGTCATGTGGGTATTAGTACCCCGTGAAGTTCATGTGGGTATTAATACCCCGTGAAGGTCATGTGGGAATTAATACCCCGTGAAGTTCATGTGGGTATTAATACCCCGTGAAGGTCATGTGGGTATTAATACCCCGTGAAGGTCATGTGGGTATTAGTACCCCGTGAAGTTCATGTGGGTATTAATACCCCGTGAAGGTCATGCGGGTATTAGTACCCCGTGAAGTTCATGTGGGTATTAATACCCCGTGAAGGTCATGTGGGTATTAGTACCCCGTGAAGTTCATGTGGGTATTAATACCCCGTGAAGGTCATGCGGGTATTAATACCCCGTGAAGGCCTTAATACCTCGTGAAGATCATGTGGGTATTAATACCTCGTGAAGGTCATGTGGGTATTAATACCCCGTGAAGGTCATGTGGGCATTAATACCCCGTGAAGGTCATGTGGGTATTAATACCCCGTGAAGTTCATGTGGGTATTAATACCCTGTGAATGTCATGTGGGTATTAATACCTCGTGAAGATCATGTGGGTATTAATACCCCGTGAAGGTCATGTGGGTATTAATACCCCGTGAAGTTCATGTGGGTATGAATACCCCGTGAAGGTCATGTGGGTATTAATGCCCCGTGAAGGTCATGTGGGTATTAATACCCCGTGAAGTTCATGTAGGTATGAATACCCCGTGAAGGTCATGTGGGTATTAATACCCCGTGAAGGTCATGTGGGTATGAATACCCCATGAAGGTCATGTGGGTATTAATACCCCGTGAAGGTCATGTGGGTATTAATACTCTCGTGAAGGTCATGTGGGTATTAATACCCCGTGAAGGTCATATGGGTATTAATACCCCGTGAAGGTCATGTGGGCATTAATACCCCGTGAAGATCATGTGGGTATTAATACCCCGAGAAGGTCATGTGGGTATTAATACCTCGTGAAGATCATGTGGGTATTAATACCCCGTGAAGGTCATGTGAGTATTAATACCCCATGAAGTTCATGTGGGTATGAATACCCCGTGAAGGTCATGTGGGTATTAATGCCCCGTGAAGGTCATGTGGGTATTAATACCCCGTGAAGTTCATGTGGGTATGAATACCCCGTAAAGGGTCATGTGGGTATTAATACCCCGTGAAGGTCATGTGGGTATTAATACCTCGTGAAGGTCATGTGGGTATTAATGCCCCGTGAAGGTCATGTGGGTATTAATACCCCGTGAAGTTCATGTGGGTATGAATACCCCGTGAAGGTCATGTGGGTATTAATACCCCGTGAAGGTCATGTGGGTATTAATACCTCGTGAAGGTCATGTGGGTATTAATACCCCGTGAAGCTCATGTGGGTATGAATACCCCGTGAAGGTCATGTGGGTATTAATACCCCGTGAAGGTCATGTGGGTATTAATACCTCGTGAAGGTCATGTGGGTATTAATACCTCGTGAAGGTCATGTGGGTATTAATACCCCGTGAAGCTCATGTGGGTATGAATACCCCGTGAAGGTCATGTGGGTATTAATACCCCCGTGAAGGTCATGTGGGTATGAATACCCCGAGAGGGTTATGTGGGTATTAATACCCCCGTGAAGGTCCGTCTGTCACCTGGAAGCCTCAGTGACAATAATCAAGGCATAAAGGAAGCCTCAGTGACAATAATCAAGGCATAAAGGAAGCCTCTCGTGCATTTTTAAGATCGCGAAAAATAAGGAAAATAAGGACGCTCGCAGGACGTTGAGCCATATATAAAAAACGGACAAGGACGCTCGCAGGAAGCATTGACACTGATTAATAAGATTCCTTGGTGCGTGTCAGGATGCACTAGGCAGAATAAACAAAAATGAAAGATATCTCTCGACTACGATTTCAAAATAAGAATTTCATGTGGTGAATGGTTTGAAAAACCGACAAGTTGAAGATTGAGACACTTATGCAGCATATGGGAATCTTTATTCAGGAAACGTTTCGCCACACAGTGGCTTCATCAGTCCAATACAAAGAGGAAGGCGTAAGGAGAGGAGTAGTACATTCTACAAGATTGATGGACTGAACACATCGGCTCCAGGTTGAGGGACTGATTACCTCATACTACTCCTCTCCTTACGCCTTCCTCTTTGTATTGGACTGATGAAGCCACTGTGTGGGGAAACGTTTCCTGAATAAAGATTCCCATATGCTGCATAAGTGTCTCAATCTTCAAGAATTTCATAATCTCGAATTTCATAATCTCTTTTCTGAATGTAAAACTTTATTTATTCTCCATAAAATTTGTTTTTTGTTAATATTTTTGGGTGTTTGGAATGGATTTATTGGATTTACATTTTTTCTTATGGGAAATATAAAGAAAAAATAAATTTTATAGAGTATAACTATAGTTTTACACACAGAAAATGGATTACGAAATTCGAGGGTCCAATGTAATATGATTTAGAAAGGCAGACAAGAGACCATTTAATTATTACAAAGTTTTACCTACAAGAAACTTAATCAAACACTTGAAAAAGTCTCATTTATGTGAATTCTTAAGATAAAAAAAATCTATTGCTATATTTTTCGGCTTATGGCCACATTGGAACCCAAAAAAAGAAAACGGTAAAATCACCCAGGTGCGTGGTAAGATTACAAAAATATCGCTTGAGGTTGCAAGATGCAAAATATGGTGGATATTGCCTCTCGGGCAATGCAAGATGCAGGATTAAAATCAGGATTGATTCCGTGCATATAAGAAAGGTGATCCTACCTTGACTGTCAGTACGTTATTGTTATTAGTTTGTATTTGCCGCATACTGTCCCAGGCTTCAGCCTTGGCTTTGGTCATAATGTCGGACACGAACCTGCGGACCACTTCCATCAGTCTCTCGTCTGACTTGAGCTTGTCAGCGTCAAGCACAACCTGCAGAATAAGGTCAACTCAGGTGTTAAACACGATGCATACAGGTTTGCTTCACAACTAATTCACAAATAAGAAAGGAAATTACAGACGCTTCGGCCAGTTGAAGACCATTATCATCTATAGTTTCCATTCTAAACTGTGGGATAGTCGTGAAATGTTTCAGCCACGGTATTGTGACAGGGGATAGTCTATAACTAAAGTTATTTTAAATATTCATTGGTTTCATAATTCAAATACAGAGATAATTTAGATTTGGCCTAAATGGCCTTCACTTATTTGTTCCTGATAATTATTTAACACTCACTCTTCACTCATCTGTGTTTGCGGAGCTTGAGTTCAACTCTCGGCCCAGCCTTCCAAAGTAGTTTTTTTTTGGCAATTCTTAATGTTAATATCTTCTTTTAAAAAGTGCCATATCACTATTTTTCAAAACAAAGTTAGTGAACCTAACCCTCCACGAGTATAGACTTCGTAGTGTAATAAACACTTGTCAGCAATGACTTAGATATCTGTGCAACATCTGTGTATGTATATGTGGTAATAAATACCGAAACCTAGGAACAGGTGTTCTTTACCAGAGTCTAGATAAATTTGTGGCTCTAGCAACAAGACGTGAGCTCCTACAAGAGGGTCCCACTTTCCAGCGTTTCCCTTTCCAGTGCTTCGCTTCCCAGCACTTCGCTTTCCAATGCTTTGCTTTCCAGGGCTTTGCTTTCAGTTCACTTTCCCTCACTTTCCAGCACTTCACTTTCCAGCACTTCACTTTCCAGCACTTCACTTTCCAGCACTTCACTTTCCAGCACTTCGCTTTCCAGTATTTCGCTAATACAGTGGTTTTCAGTTATACCCATTCTTCATTTATTCAGGCTTCTTACAATAATATTCACCACTCACTATAAGCTAATTACAAAAACATTTTAAGGTAAGTAATGTGTGTACTGTATATGATCTCTTGTTCACTTAATATATGACAGTGTAAACATGTTATCAGCTTTTTATATGCATTTGAAAGAACAAAAGAGGTCTATGTTTCACTTTACAGCAGTAACCCAGAATCTAACCTGCCGTATAAGCGGGGCCTCCCTGTATACTTAGGTGCCTGTTGCACAGGTGTCCAAGTCATCATCTTGTCAGTATTGTATAACACTGATACACAACTTGTCAGTGTTTAAGTAAACCTATAAGAGACATAAATGCGAAATGAGATGTTTATTTTTATCTCAGACTGAGATTCCTCTTTACCTGGTAATATTTTCCGCTGCCATTATGGTCCTAACTAGTGTTTACTCAAGATTCAACAAGTGATTGAAATGTTAGCTCCTAACATTTAACATGTGTCTCTTTGAGTTTACGAACAATTTACCTTCAGACCCCATTAACCTGAGATCCTCCCATTCCTCAGGCTCTCCTTGACTTATATAATAATAATAATAATAATAATAATAATAATAATAATAATAATAATAATAATAATAATAATAATAATAATAAATATTAATATTATAATTATTTTTATTATTACTATTATTAATTCTTAATTCTGATAGCACTATAAAATTTATTCTTGATAAATGAAGGAAATCTCAGGATTCTTTTTCAAGACAGATTATGACAGAGAAACATGTCACAGTAACTTAAATAGAAGGATTTACAAATTATCTACAACTTTAAGAGTAAATTATAAACAAAGATTTTGGGTCATCTCAGACAATTTTTCAAGTTCCTTCAATCTATAATGAACCAGGACTGACGGAATCGCCGTCTATTTCTTCGTCTCAAAATGTGGGTGAGTTGTAATGGATGAAGGTCAAAATAAGTGAAAATCATTGGGCTTACAAAGTATGTTTAGAATTCTATAAGATCCATAAATATTGTAAGGAAATAAACAGCCGGTGTTAAGTTTGCCGCAGATGACAACACTGCAAAGATTTTACCTGTATTCCCTTAAGGTGATTCACAGGCATAGTGTATCACACACACACACACACACACACACACACACACACACACACACACACACACACACACACACACACACACACACACACTCAACCCCACCCCCATAGCAACCCCGCATAGTTCCTCGCCAGGTCTCCCGCTCCCCCAACCCCATCGTTCTCCCCGGACCACAGATTTAGAAAAGAAGTTGAAGGTTTAGTATATGAATATGGATGGAATAACAAATAAATGTGAGAAGAGGCATGAAAGAATCTAGGAGATGTCCCAAGACATCATAGCACTCACAAAAACGAAACTCACCCGAATGATAACAGATGCAGTCTTCCCAACCGGATATCAGATCACGAGGAAAGAAAGAGGGAGCAGACTGCTCGTTGAAAACCGATGGGGATTTAAAGAAACGGAAGGAATGAACAAAATGGACGAGACTACATATTAGGTACAGTTCAGTCTGGGGGACATAAGGTAGTCATTGCAGTGATTATAAATCCGCCACAGAACTGCAGGAGCCCAAGAGGAGAATATGAAGAAAGCAACAGAGCAATGGTGGACACACTAGCTGAAGTAGCCAGAAGAGCCCACACGGCATATAAAATACTGAGAGGAATTGACAAGGTTCACAGAGACAGGATGTTCCAAAGATGGGACACCGCAACAAGGAGTCACAATTGGAAGATGAAGACTCAGATGAATCACAGGGATGTTAGGAAGTCCTTCTTCAGTCACAGAGTTGTTAGGAAGTGGAATTGTCTGGGAAGTGATGTAGTGGAGGCAGGGTCCATACATAGCTTTAAGAAGAGGTATGATAAAACTCATGGAGCAGGAAGAGTGACCTAGTAGCTACAAGTGAAGAGGCGGGGCCAGGAGCTGTGGCTCGACCCCTGCAACCACAACTACGTGAGAACAATTAGGTGAGTCCTGTGTACACAGTATACTTTACGCCCATATTGGAGTACATAGCACTAGTATGGAACCCACACCTGGTAAAGCACGTCAAGAAGTTAGAGTGATAATGTTTGTGACATGACCTGATCCACATAGAAACACTGAGGAGAGGTAAAGGGAACTAAACCTGATACCACTTTACGACAAGAGAGATGGAAGGACATGATAACAACGTATAAAATACTGAGAGGAAATAACAAGGCGAACAGGGTCAGAATGTTTTAGAGATGGCTTGAAGCTGAAAACTCAGATGAGTCACTGGGATGTTATGAAATATTTTTCAGCCTTAGAGAATGAATGAAGTAGTGGAGGCAGGATCCATACATAGCTTTAAGAAGAGATACGATTAAGGTTCTCGGAAAGTGAACAAAGTGGCGACTAACGAAGAGGCGGGCCCAGAAGCTGTGACTCGACCCCTGCAACCACAAGTAGATGAGTATAAATGGGTGAGTCCACACACACACACACACACACACACACACACACACACACACACACACACACACACACACACACACACACACACACACACACACACACGTTTCAAACCTATATAAGAACGCTTTTATATCTATACTCTCACATATTCCTCCTCTTTGCCTCCAAGGACAAAGTTCTTTGTCTCCACAGACTCGTCAGTGCACCACTCACCTTTTTCTGTGTTTCTGATATCTTATGGTAAGATGTTGAATAGTCTTAGCTTGGATTTTCAAATATCTTGTATGGACTTATGCTTCCTTTGTCCTTTTTCTGTTAGGTATGACACCCAATTCAGTGATTTCTCAGCTAAAACTATCCTCTGTTACAACATATTTGTGTTTTTAAACCATTCAGTAATCTGTTACCTTCTTCTGTACCATCTACTGCGATCTCTCTCTATATCTGATCTTCTTATGGATTACCTCAATTGTATTTGTTTACCACTGATCTTGTATGGTTCTATATTTAGTTTCTCCAGGCACTGGTGGGGATTTAGGTGCTCATGTCTGATTACCAGGATATGTCTGATAGCTCCTCGTTTATTTTTTCACAGTCAATTCTCTGGCTATTGAAATTATACTTACTGAACATCTCTGCAGTTCGCTAACCCTATAATATTGTGGTCAAAGTATATTGGTTTTGTAACTGTTAAGTCTCTGATTAGTTCCTCGTTGTTTGTGAATATCAAATCCAGGGTATTTTGATTTCTAGTGGGGTCAGTTATATGTTGGTTCAATGAGTACTTTTTACAAAGCCTCAATAGTTCCCTGGTAGGTGCCTGTTGAGCCAGAGTTCTGGTATAACGTTGCGTTGCGCCATCTTCCATTTTACATAAGGGACATTAAAATCTGCAAGGAGTATCTGGTGTGGGATTTTCTAGCCTATCCAAACAGCTATAAATCTTCCTTAGCTGATTTGTGAATCACTCAGCAGTTGCTGATGGTACTTTATATACTAGTATAATTACCAAATTCTTATTTACAACTTTAATGCCAGGAATTTCTACTGTATCATTCGTAGAATCCAACAATTCTTAGCAACGGAAAATATCTTTCACACAGAGTCCTACTCATATCGATACATATTACAGTTTTGTATCCTTATCTCTCAATCCATAACATCCCTTGGATGTGTTTCTGGAAATGCTCCAAACATGGCATTCACTTCTAAGAGGTGCCAACTAATTCTAAGAGGAGCCAACTAATTCTAAGAGGAGCCAACTAATTCTAAGAGGAGCCAACTAATTCTAAGAGGAGCCAACTAATTCTAAGAGGAGCCAACTAATTCTGTCGTTTTTGTTTGATTTCAAACACGGAATGTTTGCTAAGAGGAAGCAGGATTAACCATTTGCGATGTTTTGCTTTGCTGTGTGTTTAGCTAGTACCACTGGTGATATACCATCTGGTATGACCCCTGGTAGTCATCTAGTTTTGCTCACCTAGTTGTGGTTGCAGGGGTCAAGTCACAGCTCCTGGCCCCGCCTTTTCACTGGTCGCTACTAGGTCACTCTTCCCACTCCGTGAGCTTTATCATACCTTTTTCTTAAAGCTATGTATGGATCCTGCCTCCACTACATCACTACCAAAGCTGTTCCACTTCCTGGCAACTCTGTGACT